CCACAAAGTCCCATTCCCCCCTCACCCAAAGTCCCAAGAAGGAGGGGCGGCAGGGGCCGTGAAAACAGTCACTCCACCCCTGCAGACTGCTCAAGTACAGACGGCTCTCATTCCCAAAGTTTTGATAAGTCCTTTCTTTCACTCCAAAAGCACCTCACCCAAGCCCCTGTCCCAGTGTCATCCCCTACCTGTGCAGTTGTTAATAAAAAATATGTTTCTTTTAATTACTGTTTCCGTCAGGTTCTTTTAGAGGAGAGTATGTTTGAAGGGGGGAAAGGGGGTTGGGAATTGGAGAGGACAGTCACCTTTACCAGGGTACAGACATGGGGGCAGGTTCAGCAGCAGGTCTCACACACATTGCAGTCACTAGGCACCCTGGTCAGTCTGGGAGGTGGTTTTCATGTTCTGTGTGGGTGGGGGGGGGGGCTATGTGAGTTTGTGGCGGGGGAGGGAGGTTATAGATCTTATGCAGCGGTCCTTAGCCTGGATGACAGAGCCACGCAGCAGGGGATCTGTAACCGTCCTCCCCCGCCACAAAGTCACATAGCCCCCACACACAGAGTCCCGAAAAGGAGGGGTGGCAGGCTCCGTTGAAACAACCAGTCCACCACTGTGGACCACTCTAGGAGCAGGAGCCTGTCATTCCTCGAGTTTAGAAGCATCCTTTCCATCACTACACCCGCTCCCCACCACAGTCTGCGTCCCAGTTTCAACCCTTTACCACAAAACCCTTAATAAAGAAAACGGTGTTAATGAACAAGGTTCCATTTATTTTATTTTTAAAGGTGTGTTGGAAGGGGGGAAACGGGGTGAAGGGGGTATGTAACTGGAGAGGATAGTCAACATTAACTGGGTAAAGAAATGGGGGCAGGTTCAGCTTCTCTTTAAACCAACTTAATAGTCACAGGTTACCCTGCTCACTGTGGAACCTAGCTTTCAAAGCCTCCCGGATGCACAGCGCGTCCCGCTGGGCTCTTCTAATCGCCCGGCTGTCTGGCTGGGCGTAATCAGCAGCCAGGCGATGTGCCTCAACCTCCCACCCCGCCATAAAAGTCTCCCCCTTGCTCTCACAGAGATTGTGGAGCACACAGCAAGCTGCAATAACAATGGGGATATTGGTTTTGCTGAGATCAGAGCGAGTCAGTAAGCTTCTCCATCTCCCCTTGAGACGTCCAAAAGCACACTCCACCACCATTCTGCACTTGCTCAGCCGGTAGTTGAAGAGTTCTTTTTCACTGTCCAGGGCGCCTGTATAGGGCTTCATGAGCCAGGGCATTAGTGGGTAGGCTGGGTCCCCAAGGATCACTATAGGCATCTCCACATCCCCAACAGTTATTTTGTGGTCCGGGAAGTAAATACCTTCCTGCAGCCGTCTAAACAGACCAGAGTTCCTGAAAACATGAGCGTCATGAACCTTGCCCGGCCATCCGACGTTGATGTTGGTAAAACGTCCCCTATGGTCCACCAGTGCTTGCAGCACCATTGAAAAGTAGCCCTTTCTGTTAATGTACTGGCTGGCCTGGTGCTCCGGTCCCAGGATAGGGATGTGAGTTCCGTCTATAGCCCCACCGCAGTTTGGGAATCCCATCGCGGAGAAGCCATCTATGATGACCTGCACGTTTCCCAGGGTCACTACCTTTGAGAGCAGTAGCTCAACGATTGCGTTGGCTACTTGCATCACAGCAACCCCCACAGTAGATTTGCCCACGCCAAAGTGGTTCGCAACTGTCCGGTAGCTGTCTGGCGTTGCAAGCTTCCAGAGGGCTATGGCCACTCGCTTCTGGACAGTCAGGGCTGCTCGCATCCAGGTGTCCTTGCGCTTCAGGGTAGGGGACAGCAACTCACAAAGTTCAAGGAAAGTTCTCTTACGCATGCGAAAGTTTCGCAGCCACTGTGATTCATCCCAGACCTGCAGCACTATGCGGTCTCACCAGTCCGTGCTTGTTTCCCGGGCCCAGAATCGCCGTTCCACAGCATCAACATGACCCATTGCCACCATGATATCCACGGTGCGGGGTCCCGTGCTTTGCGAGAGGTCTGTGCCACTCTCAGACTTAATGTCCTCACCGCTCTGCCGTAGCCTCCTCGCCCGATTTCTCAGCATGTGCCTCTGAAAAAGGTGGATGATAAGGTGCGAGGTGTTGACAACGGCCATAACTGCAGCGATGGTCGCAGTGGGCTCCATGCTCGCAGTGCTGTGGCGTCTGCGCTGTCACTCACCAGAAAAGTGCGCGAACTGATTGCCCGCTGGCGCTTTCAGGGAGGGAGGGCGGGAGTGACGGTTGAATGACGACAGTTACCCAAAACCACCCTCGACACATTTTTTTCCCCAGCAGGCATTGGGGGCTCGACCCAGAATTCCAATGGGCAGCGGGGACTGCGGGAACTGTGGGATAGCTGCCCGCAGTGCACCGCTTCCAATGTCGATGCTTGCCCCGTTAGTGTGGACTCACAAAGTGGAATTACTGTTCTTAGTATGGATACACACCTTCGACTTTGTAATATCGGTTCCACTAATTCGATTTAAGTAAAATCGAACTACTCTCATAGTGTAGACATACCCTTATTTTGGCATGTGACCTTTTTACCTGAGGGGAGGCAAATCATAAGAACATAACATATCTATAGGGTGTGTTGAATAGGGCGGTAAATCTCCTGGCTCATCAGAGCAGCCCAAGCAGGCTTGGTTAGGAGAGACTGATATTGACAAACCAGGTATAATTGATGTGCTGTGTTCAGAACTCTGAATGTTGGATAGAAATTATCAGCTGATTTACAAAGTGCCATTTGGTCCTTTTTACACTATTGCTGGAGCGATGTTTCGTCCCATTTGCTGCCCTCTCCCCAGGTCTGCACAGATGGATCTAGGAAGGACTAGTGATGTTGTGGAGCTAAGTGGAACTGAAGCCAGGAGGGAGCACATGGTGTGCTGCTGCCCAATGCAGCTGGGTGATAATTCTTGTTCCAAGGTCTCTTCAGTAACCTTCTAGGTGAGGAATTCTACCCTGAGAACATCACTGCTGCCATGATGAGAGCTTTAAGAATCAGAGTCAAAGAATTGACATGTTCCCAGGGCTGGTTCCATCACTTAGTGGTTAATGTGGGACAGATGAACTAAGGCCTGGAGTGCCACAAATGTCTGCCAGAGGCCATATGGAGGAAGCACAGGGGCCCTTCTGAAAGGGGTGAAGATGGGTAGTGAGTAAATCTTGGAATACAGCTCCAATGTCAACTGCTCCTTGGTTAGTCCTTGTCAGTTAACAGACAGAGCAGTGATGCCTGTTTTGGGTGCAGAATACACCATGAGGGGACCACTGGGACCTGCCATTGTATGGATGGGAAGGGAGGAGGCTATGGATAGGGGCATGTGGTGGACACCCAGGATGGGAAGGGAGGATACACTTGGGGGAAGGTGGTAGTCAGGGCCATCCTTACCCATACGCAAAGTACGCAGCTGCGTAGGGAACCAGGAAATTTGGGGCACCAAATTTCCAGCCCCTGCTCCGCCTCTTCCCTATGGCCCCGCCTGAGCCCCGCCTCTTCCCGCCCCTGCTCCGCCCCACCCCACCTCTTCCCACCCCACCCCTACTCCGCCCAAGCCCCGCCCCCACTCCCCTGAGGAGTGCAACAGAGCTGGGCCTGCACTCACCGGTGGCGGGAAGTGCAGTGAATTCCCCCCTGTTCCCCAAGCCAGCCCCCGCACCCCCTGCGGAGGCCTGGGGCCAGCCCCCTCCTCCCCCCAGAGGCCTGGGGCCCCACAGAGGATGCAGATGCGGGAAGGTGGCAGCCACCTGAGATGGGAAGGGAGGAGTATATGGATGGGGGCAGATGGGGGCCATCTGAGGGATGGTGTGAAATGAGAAGATCTTATGAAGTAGAGATGGGAAGAAGACTGCTTGACTCTGGGCTCTGCTAATGAGATACAGAGCCTGTTGCCTCTGGGTCACTCTCTTTACTGCAGTTGGCTGTCTGGTGGCCCCTGGGTGATATGGGTTTGATGCCCTCAGTCCAGGGCCTAGTGGATAGGTGCTACATCACAAGCCTGTTGTTATAGCTGATGCTAGCTGGCGTTCTGGTTGGCAGCCTCTGCAGAGAGGCCAGGGACAGCCTAGGTCATGGGACATGATCTCGCCTCTCAGCCCTAGAGGTCATCCCTCAAGGTCAGCATGGAGGCACACATGTGGTGTTGGGGAAGCTTGTCACTTTGTTGAGCCAAAAGATAGGATTCAGGTCCCTGGAGTTGTCAATCTAGCCCCCCTCACTGCCCCCTACCTCCAGCACTAGATGGACACAATGCTTAAAACAAGGAAAGAAAAATTGACCCAGCTGAGCTGCTGAAACCAAACAAGAACTGACTAGAAGTTTCACCTCCAAACTTCCCCATTCCACCTGTGATCAGAAGCCTGACTGCTGAAATAGCACAAGACAGCATTCTCATGGTCTTTCCAGCCCCAACAGAGGCAGGAGGTGATGTAAACCTAGTGTGACAGCAGCTTAAGATTTCCAAGAATCTCAGATAAGCAGGGGACAGTGTGGTCTAGTTGTTAAGGCAGGTGACTAAGACTCAAGAGATTTGGACTGTAGTCTTAACTCTGCCACTAACATAGTGACCTTTGGTGAGTCATTTCCCATCCCTTCTTCCCCATCTGTAACATGAGGTCAGTAATATTTACCCAGGCTCCTAAAGTGCTTTGAGATTTATGGATGGAGAGTGCTATAAAAGTTCAGTACATTATGGTGCGTGCCTGAACACCTGGGAACTATGGCGATTGTGTCCTATAAATATTGGGTGGGAAACTTTCTGCAGCTCATCCATGTCATTTGCAGTTCACCCATCCCCACCCAGGCTCTTGCTCAGTCTGGTCCCAGGTGGCAGGAACCTTTGGCCAGCATCCTTGGTCATTGGGGTGGGTAGAAGGAAGAAAAAGGGACCTGGCTAAGCATTCGTCTCTAAGTTGAGGTTGTGCAAGCTGTAACAGGTGCTCTCCTGTGGCCAGCAGGAGCTAGATAATTACCGTACAGCCATGAAGAAGATGGCGGACGATATCCTGTCTCTGCGCAGGCATGTTGCCAGCCTAGAGGCAGAGAACAGCACCCTGCGCTGCAACCTGAGCATGCACGAGGAAGTGGGCCGCACACTGCTGAACGACGTGGACGTGGATGTCATGACCAAGGTGGAGATAGTCGACAGGATAGGTAAGGTACGCACCTCCCACCCCACCTCTGCATTGCTCAGTGGGGAGCGAAGGAAGGAAGAGGCTGACATGAGAAAGAGTGGGGCATGTCTCTGACTGTGGCATTACAGGGAGTGGGAAAGTGAAAGGTTAATAGGCTTGGCTAGAGGCAGGCACAGTGCAAGTGCCCCCCAGTCCCTGTTATCCCCATCCCAGCCCTCTCCTCCTGGACTCTCCCTCTTGGCCGATGCTCCTCAGTCCTTACCATCCAGTTTAACTTGTATCTGAATTTGTGGACCTAACAATCTGATTGGGCACTTTTGGCCTTGGCGAATAGACCTGCCCCATAGCTGTGCCCCCTATTCCCTGGGAGTCCTGGGAGCTGTTTGTATCCCTCAGACATGCCCCCATGCCACTGACCGGGCTCTGTGGTCTCTTGCAGTGGCCCTCAAGCACAAACTGGCTGCTGGGACAGTGGAAATGAGCAGGATGAAGGACCGGGTGCAACAGCTGCAAAATGAGCTGATCCGGGTAACTGTGCCGATGGCTTTGGCCTGCTTGGTCATTATTCCATAGAGGGACTCGTGAGCGTATGCAGCTCCTGTCCTGAAGGCCTCAGGGTCTAATTCAAACAGATATGATGCCCAGGGCACAAGCAGAAGGATCTGGGCTGTCCCTAGTGAGGAGAGCTCTGAAGAAGACTGCATGCAAGAAGGCAGTTTGACAAAGGAGATGGGACATCAGAGGTTGCTCCCCAGCCCTAGCCTGCGGAGCGAGAGGCCAGTCTAAATGTGAAAGTCAGCTGTGCTGCACAGCCAACACCCTCTGCCTTTCTTCTGCTGTCCCATGCTGGGGGTCTTCCCCTCCAAAGGAGAAAGGAGACCACCACTCTTTAGAGCCACACGCTAGGAGCCGCACGTTCCTGGTTACAGGTGGAAATTAACACAGACAGAGAGGTCAACCTGGTGCCCAGGAGGCCCTCACAGGGGGCGAGCAGCTTGGAGCTGGGGAGCCATCTGGAGAAGCAAATATTCCCAGACCCCTGGACAGTCTCACTAAGCTCCTGGAGACTGGGGCTGTAGTTTGAGTTCTCCGCTGATTACCCTCCTCTCCTAACCCTGCAGCCACCCTGATTGACCAAGGGAGGAGAGTGGAGTAACAGGTGAACTCCAGTAGCTTTGGCAGCTCAGTTTGGGTCACACCCTGCCATAGTTCCGCAGCCCAATCAGCGACTGCTTGGGAGCCAGAGAGAACCACAGGTCTGCCTGTGTCCATCCACCTCAGTAAAGAATCCCCTGTGCATTCTGATTCACTCCCCGAGGGATCTGATGGTTTCCCTCCCCTCTCACCCACCAGAAGAACGACCGGGAGAAGGACCTGGTGATGCTGCAACGAGCCCATCAGCAACAGCAGACGGTGCTGAGGAAGTACCACAAGAAAATCACCAAGATGAAAGCCCTGGAGGATACTGTACGGCAGCAGGAGAGGGTGAGCAGAGCACAGGTGCATGGGACGGTGCAGGGGAGAGTACCCAGCTGGGCGTCCCACAGGGCTTTGCTCCTCTTCCATGCTGGGGCAACATGCCCTGTGCTCATAGTGCACTCCCTACAGGGAAACCTTGCAACAAGCCACAGCAAAGCAAACCATCAGGGACCTGCCCTGGTGTTGTGTTTGTCAGCATCAACCAGGCCCACAGGATCTGGGCCCCATAGTCTCACTAGCAGGGTGGGATCTTCCTGCCTCCATCTGCTCCCCCTTTGTCACCCTGTCATGAATATAGGGGGAAGGGTAGCAACCTTTATGTATGCAGTAGCATAAAATCCCTCCTTGGCAGCTGTACTGGATTGCCTTACCTGTAAAGGGTTAAGCAGTTCAAATAACCTAGTTGGCACCTGACCAGAAGGACCAATGAGGAAAGAAGATACTTTCAAATCTGGGGGGGAAGGATTTGTTTGTTGTTCTCCAGCAGGTACACTATCTACGTAACAGCTGAAATGCCTAAAGACCGACCTAACTCCTGGCATAGACAGCACTATGTCGACAGGAGAATTTTTCCCACCCACATAAATACCATCTCTCGGGAAAGTGGCTTAACTACGCTGACGGGAGATGCTCTGTGCCTCTGCAGCATTTTAAATGTGGACCGGCCCATGTGCAGTGTAGACACACCCTTAAAGGACATGAGGTCCATTGTCTGTGGCCCATACACAGTCCCCTCCAGCTGGGGAACAGTGGAGCAAGCTGAACAGGAGGGAAGGCCAGCAACAGCATAGCAGAGCTAGGCCTTGTCCAGACTAAGGTTGTGATGTTAGCATGTGTGACTCACACATTTTAAAAGTCTAGTGTTGCTAAGGCCACACTGCCTTTAATGTGCCAACCTAGGCTCCCCTCTGGGCTTCACCTCAGCCTGTTTAGCATGAGTTAAAGGCAACGTACCTTCTGCAGACTAGATGTTTAGACCCTGTTAGTGACCATGTGGTAACGACATGCCCCAAATCTAGTCTAGCCAAGGCCCCAACTCTCTGCGGCACCCTGTTGCTGCAAGGGTTATGTGGGCCTTCGGGGGCTGTGATGGGAGCTCCCCTCTCCACTGAATTTCTGCCTTCCAAAGGTGATTGAGAAGATGGAGCGCATGCTGGAGGAGAAGGTGCCAGAGGCTGCTAGGACCTGTGAGCAACTGTTGGGTAAATGCCCCCCTCTCTCTCTGTGAGAGCCAGGGGGCTGGGCTGGGCCCTGTTTTATTGGGAGCCAGGTAGTTCCTGAGTGATGCAGGAGGGGAGGGAGTGGCCCAAGTTGCAGCTCAACTGGCCACATGGGAGGCAGGCGGGAGAAGCTCATAGGGACCCAGCAGAGAGGCTCATCATTCAGGGCCATACCCTGCTCCCTCCCTTACTCATGTTGGGCAGCACCAACCAACGGGGCTACTTGTGGAGTAAGTTGCTACTCCACATGACGTCTGGCCCTATGGAAGGGAAAAGCAGAGCCCCCAGTCAGGGAAGCCTAAAGCCCCCAGCTCCTTGCTGTACCCAGGGTCAGGACCAGCTCTAGGCACCAGCAAAGCAAGCACGTGCTTGGGGCGGCACATTTCCAGGGGCAGCATTCCCGCCGACATCTTCAAAAATTCCAACATCAAGCCCCAGCTCTCCTCGGGCAACAAAGTGCCCACCAACTGCCTGGATGTGGCAGGCAGCGGCCCTCCGGGCTACTGTTACAAAGTCTGCCTGGCCCTGGAGTCCGCCAAGAGCGACTTCCTGTTCCTACAGCCCGAGTCCCCCGAGGAACAACGAGAAAGCCACCAAGAACTTACCAGGGCCGGTAACCCTGCAGTACAGCTGGTGGGGCTCAGGGAGATGCACTGGGAGAGAGTGCCATGAAATACCCCTTCAGGGGTTAGCCCGGCTTTCCCCCTTCTTCTCTCCCTCCCACGCCCCCTTGGAAACGAATCTGAGCCGGGAGAAATCCTTTCATTCAGGCACAACTTTTTAAAGATAATGACCCGACCCTTTGATCAAGTGGCAGAGTCGGAATTAGCACTTGTCAGACAGCAGGCAATTCTCCAGTGCGCTCCTTACCCATTTCAGTTAATGATTTGGGGAACTTCAGGCTCATTTTAAATGAGTGAAAGTAGCAGAAAGCGCTCAGAAGCAACAGCCCAGCTCCTAGTAAGACTGAAATACGGAGCGTGCCCAGGAAAGCCAAGGGCTGTCTCCTATCACGGCTGCACAACCCCGTAGCCTTCCTTCAAGAGACCCAGGCGTGACACCGGGGCAGCAAAGCAAGCGGTGATTTAAGCCTCTTGAAATGTCACTCTCTATTCTGTATTTCCCCTCCGCACATATTACAGGCAGCATGAATTACTCAGGCGCTTTAGTGGCCCATGGGGCTTTTCAGCTCCTTCGTCTCAATACGAAATTCAGGCAGATACACCCGGCTCAAGCAGATTCAGATGCAGTTGTTGCCCAATGCTGCATCAGTACCGCACCCAGTCAAAAAAACCCAACACAACAACAACAACAAAAAACATTGCAAAGTGCAAACGTGTAAAAGCCACACAAAAAAGGGGGGGGGGGGGCAAATTTTTTTTTGCTTGGGGCAGCAAAAAACCTAGAGCCGGCCCTGCCCAGGGTGCTCCCTTTCACAGACAGGTTCTGATTCCACTATAGTAGGCTGGCAGGGGCAAAGGAGAGGTGAAATGACCTGGCCTCTCCCTGGAAGGGGGTGAGTAGTGAAAGTGCTGGAGGGTATGGAACTGAGCAGAGGTCTGAGCGGCTTCTCTGCTCTTCTCCCCCAGCTGATAGCTTCTCCAAGGAGTTCTACTCCACCCTGCTAGCTGAGAACATGAGACTGCGGGAGGAGCTGGGCAGAGCCCACTACCGCTCTTCCCCCATCATCCTGCAGCAGCAAGCCTTGCCGGTGAGATGGGTCGGCTTGGGGCCACGGCATGGGGAGGGTCTCCTGTTAGCCAGTGGGAGTGATTCACTTCATGTGCAGGACACTGTGGCTGGCAGTTTGGTTGCTTTATCAGTGTGACAGGTTCCCCCCAGGGTGCCATTTGAAACTGGGGTACCACTGAGCCCCCTGACCCACCAGTCTGGGCTCCCTCTCACACTGTACTGCTGTGAGAAGCTGCAAAACCCTCCAACCTACACATTCACCAGCATTCACACAGGCTGGGAGTCGGACCAGTGTTCCCTCTAATTTTGCCCACGCATGTGTGGAATTAATTTTGTTATATGCACCAATATGGAGGTGATGTGTGACACATCACCTCCATATTGGTGCACATAACAAAATTCATGTGGCAGGGGTCGAGAGGTTCGGAGTGTGGGAGGGGGCTCAGGGCTGGGGCAGAGGGTTGGGGTCCGTGGGGCTCCGGCTGGGGGTGCGGGCTCTGGGGTGGGGCTGGGGATGAAGGGCTCGGGGATGGGGCAGAGGATTGGGGCACGGGGGGGTGAAGGTTCTGGCTGGGGGCGCGGGCTCTGGGGTGGGGCTGGGGATGAGGGGTTTTGGGTTCAGACTTCCTGGGGCTACAGCAGGGAGAGAGGTACAGCAGCAGCAGCACCTAGGCTGGGGGGGAGGGTCGCCTCTGCCCACCATGGCAGCTCCAGGGCTGGACCTGCCTCTCCCCCAGCGACGGCAGGTCCAGGCTGGGGCTGGGTTGGGGCCAGGGAAGGGGGACCTCTTCCCCTGCTTTGGCAGATCCGGGGCTGGGCTGGGTTGGGGCCAGGGGAGGGACCGCACAGCTTAGAGGGAATTTAGGTAGGGACACACCCAGCTGCAGTTACACGCAGGCTCTCTAACCACCAGCTTCCCAGCCTGGGACCCCAGAGCTGAACCATCCTGCACTGGTCAAATCTGGCCAGTATATGGGTTTTACACCTGGTCCTCCTCTCCCTCAATGTGAGGAGAACAATGCACACTTGTGGTAACCAAGCAGAGATTTTCCCCAAGCACTCCAGTCAAAACTCATGGGTTTAGATTAAAACAAAACAAATGTATTACCTATAAAAGCTAGATTTTAAGTGATTATAAGGGGTAGCAAACAGATCAAGACAGATCACCTAGTAAATAAACAAAAATGCAAAATAAGCTTAATATACTAAATAGATTGGCTATGAATAGCAGATTCTCACCTTAATTGATGGTACAGGCAGGCTACAGATTCTTAAGGCACAAGCTGCATTAACTTTACAACTTGGGTTTCTCAGGTCTTCATACACATGCTAGAAATCCCTTTAGCCTGGGTCCAGCACTTCCCCCAGTTCAGTCTTTGTTCCTTAGGTGTTTCCAGGAGTTTTCTTGTGTGGGGAGTGAAGAATCCTGACCCGATGATGTCACTCCCTGCCTTATATAGCTTTTGCATATAGCGGGAACCCTTTGTTCCAAAGCTTGATTCCCAGACCAATCTGTGGGAAAATACTGACATCCCAAGATGGAGTCCAGCCTCATGTGGCCTGGTCACATGTCCTTGTAGAGTCATAGCAGCCATCACTTTCAGGCTGTCTGTAGAGTTCTCAGGAAGACTCACCAGGTGGGAGATAAGCTTCTCCTGAGGCCTATTGTTCTCCCTAATGGCTCATTGCCCTGAGTAGGCCCTTCCCAACCAGCTATCTAGCCTGAACACATCTTTTCTAGTGGGCGTTATCCAGGTGTAACTACATTTGAAATACAGATACATAGTCAATATTCATAACTTTAGATACAAAAATGATACATGCATACAAATAGGATAATCATATTCAGCAAATCATAACTTTTCCAATGACATCTCACATGACTTATCTTGAACAAACTGCATCATAATTATGTTATAATCATATCATAATAATATCACTATGAAGAATATGGGGGTGCAGTGTCACAATCAGGTTGTAAATGCTTTGGGACAGGGACTGTTTCTGCTGGCAGGTTTGTGCAGTGCCTGGCACAATGGGGCCTTGACCGCTGATTGGAGCCTCTAGCCACTACTGCAATGCAATATTATATTGTATTTGAAAAGCTGCCTTCACCACAGCCTCCACAGATCCAAGGCCTGCTCAGCACTGGCTTTTCTGCCCCCACTCCGACCCCACATCAGCACTCCCATTATATGGATTCCATGGAATGGTGGGGGAAAAGGGGTCACTGGCAGCCTGTGTCATGATGGGAAGGGGATGGAGGGCTAGAGTCTCTAAATCTCACTTGCCAGCTGCATTATCTGTTTGCAGGACATATTCTCCACCAACTCAGAGAAGCTGTCTTTGCTGGCCAAGGTGGAGAAGGCGCAAGGACGCATTCGTGTCCTGGAAAGCCAGGTAATTGTCATGCCCTTTCTCACAGGTCATCCCCCTAGTACACACATCCCATTCCCAATCTCCACCCGTTGCGTGGTCCTGTGGCATGAATGAGAATGAACTCTGACAACCCTGAGCACTGACTCACCCCTTGGTGTGCCCCCAGAAACTGGTGTTTCCTTCGAGGTATCTATATACATGATCACAGGTGGATTAGGGGCTAGATGCAGACAAAGCATTGTCTCATCTCTGTTCCTTTCCCAGCGAAGGGTAGGACTTGTTATGATTTATTGGCTGGTGAAGATCTGACTCTTGCGATTGGCCTGGAAGGCAATCAGTTGCTGGTCAGTTGTAACTCTTGTGGATGGGAGTTCCACAGTCAAGCACTGGCCGCTGAAAAGATCAATCTCATCCTAGTTTTCTCCTTGAGTCTCATCATTGCTCAGGAGCACAACATGGAGGGAGAGGCATCCGTTTCTGAGATAGCCTAGGCCCAGCCCATGGAGAGCTCAGAAGAGCAGCGTCAAGGCCTTAAAGCAGATATACCCAAAAGCTCCCTTTCCCCCCAGCCTCCCTGGCATTGAGCATTTTCACAGGCTTTCCCACAAATAAATCCCTGAGGGAGGCTGCAGCCATGGGTCTAGCAAGTCCCCAAATCAGCACTAACGAGGAGAAATGGGCCTCACAGGAACCCCCTGGGTGTGGCCTCAAAGACCCAGTTGCCCAGGTGCCATGTTTTCATATTCTCCAAGCTACCCCTAATTCCAGCAGCACTTTGCTGTATATGGCAGTGTATAGGTTATGGGAAGCCGCCAGCTGGGGATATGTGGCTTGGATGGGGAGCCCACAGATCAGCAGTCTGAAATGCACTAGTCAGTTTCCCATGTGTCAGTGAGCAGAGTGGCGGTGCCGTGCACCACTACTGCCTTCAAGAGCAAACCCAGGGTGAGAGGGCAGGCAGGGCAGCACTACCATAGTGCGCTGAGTATCTGTTCTCTCCCTCGCAGCTGGAGGAGTCTGCGAGGAAATGGGGGCGGGAGAAGCAGGACCTCAGCACCCGGCTCCTGGAGCAAGAGCACGGCTTTGGGCGCTCATCCAGCACCATCCTGCATGATTTCTCACTGGTCAGTGACATGCCTGCCGTGCCGGCCAACCCACAAGCTGGGCTCACCCAGCTACAGTCCGATTCCTCCCATACTCAGCTGCTCACCCTCCTGCCATGGCCACTGTCCATCTGGCTGGTGTAAGAGCCACGTTACTGGTCTCTAAAAATGTCCATCTAGTTTTCCTTAGCCAAAGATTGATGGCCAGGACAGGGGACAATGTAAGGGCTCAGCACTCCGTCTAGGGCACAGAAGTTGCTCAAGGAACCTCCCCTCCCCACAAGCATATCCAGGCTGAAAGTCTCTTTGATTTGTGCTAGTATAATGTCGACAGACTCCAGTCGTCGGCGCACGGGATCAAACCAGGGATCTCTGGAGCTTAGTGCATGAGCCTCTACTGCATGAGCTAAAAGCCAGCTGCCTCTTAGTGAAGGCTGTAGGGCAGACTCATTTTATATCTCCCTCTAAGTGGTCTCGATGCCACTAGATGGGACAGAACACCACACCCAGGAGGTGTGTGGGTTACACTAGCTCAGTATCACGCCCCCTCCATACACTCCCAGAAGGGGAGGGGAGGAAGAGGAGAACCAGGCAGAGCAAGCTAAGGTGGAAGAAGAGCAGGAAAGAGAGTGGATCCTCACAGCCAGCCAGTCCACTGCTGTGGGAAGGACTGTTGGGTTAACTCCACCCATCTGCACCACAGAGGCAGATCATTGGTCTAAATTTTGGTGCCTGAACAGCTGGTCACAACAAATTTCTGAGTCACCCATGTCCCTGCAGTGTGCAGGGTTGGGACAGGGCTACCCTCCGTTATCTGACACTCCCATGTGCTCTCTGGACTGCAGCAGTCTCTTTTAGCCTCCACACACACATGCTCTTAGGTTCCATCACTCCTGGTTGGCCAGGGCCCACTTCACCTAAGCCCTTTGACCTCTCCCCATATCACAGGGGGGCTGTTGTCAGACTTGTGACTTCCCAATCTTGTAGGGTGGCTGCATTTGTTGATTGGGGTAAGACTGAGTATAATCTGCCCCTGCCCGTTCAGCTGGGTGGACAGTCATCCACCACAGCCTGCTCTGGACCACAGACGTGGGGTTTTCAGCATAGCAGGTGGGCGAGCATATTACTGAATGGCATACAGGGTCCAGCCCAGAATCTCCTTTTTAAAGCTTTGGGAGGAGGGAGCAGGTAGCGTCAGGGCTAGCCCACAGAGCACACACTGGGAACCACGAGATTGGGGCACTGGACAAAAAGGACTCTGCCATTACAGAGGAATGTAAGGGCTGAAAGGAAGTGGGAGACAGGTGGATTAAGATTCCAGGAATATCCCCTGATGTTCATGCTCTTCTCCCACACAGAAAACTTCACCAGACCCCACAACACATATCAAGAGGCACCAAACGCTTGATCCTCTGCCCTAGCACCTTCTGCAAGATGGACTTATTGGCAGTGCTGGGGAAAGACTGTGAATGTTCTATCTGGTCTCCCCCCCGCCCCCTGAAACAGAGCTCTCCTAGGGGGTCTACTGGAGATCTTTATTAAATGCTTGATGCTCAACCCCCAAGTGCTGTTACTGCAGACTGGATGGCCAGGGAAATACCTATGCCAGTCAGAGCTCAGGGATATGCTTGGCCAAGTGATAGGATCCAGTCTGTGAAGCCCAGATCAAAGCTTGGAGTAGCGCTAACTCTGGGTTCTATCACAGGGCATTGGGGTTTGGGGACTTTGAATCTGGTCCGGGACCCTGCCCCAATAGGTCACCCCCCCCACCACCCAACCCTATCTCCTCCCCATCTTAATGACCATCTGTACGTATCTCTCCCCGAGGGCTCAAGGCAGTTTAGCTTAGGGTGACCAGATGTCCCGATTTTATAGGGTCAGTCCCGATTTTGGGGTCTTTTTCTTATATAGGCTCCTGTTACCCCCCACCCCCATCCCGATTTTTCACACATGCTGTCTGGTCACCCTAGTTTAGCTTGACTTTCAACATGTTTTCAGCAGCTGATTTTTGCTGGTCCCTTGTATGATCACTTCTGCAGTGTTCCAAGCACAGTTAGATGACAGCTGGTGTTGAGCTTATTGTATCTTCCCTTCCCCGCCTTCTCCCCCCAGGCAGTAGTGTCTTGGAACATTGCATTGCTGGGGTGGGGGGGAGAAGGGTGTGACATGGACTGAATTCATGCCCAGCAGAGGTGGCCTCCGTCTCTTTGGAAGGGTGGGTGAAGAACTCCATCCTTGGCTGTGATGATGGAACGCTGCCCGCTGTATAGCACATCAGCTATGCCCGAAGGACCAATTTGGATCAGTTTCACCCTCCAAGCGTGTGATGTTCGTGGAGGTTGACATTCCCTTTACCTGTGGTCCAATTCCTTTTATGTGTGGGACATTCCACATGGAGCTAGGCACAGTTTAGTTGGGGTGGTGATGCCAAACCGAAACTGGGACTGTGAGAAAGCACCCGCCTGCACATCCCTTGAAGATGGCTCCCACAGTCAGTCCGCAGACCAGGAGGAAATCTGAACATGTAACCAAGCCAAGGGCACTCTGCAGTAGAGCGAGTGGCAGCCTTAGAGGTGGGGGAATGGGCCACTGCACACACGGTGCATTGACTCTTTGTTGGCCTATGCAGCCTATGCCCCCTAGGGAGTCCTGAGTAGAGAAGCAAAACATCATGGGCCAAATTCATCCCTGGGGTAACCCCATTGACTTCAGCAGAGTTTCACCAGGGATGATTCTGACTCCTGGAATGGCCCACCAGGCTAGACTTAGCCCCGCAAGATGAGGTGCCCAGCTAGTACGAGTGATGAGAGCAGCAGCAGCACATGGCCATGAGGGCCCTTTGCCCTGGCTGCTATTCCTCATGTCCGCAAGGACTCGTGTGAAGCCACTGGGCTCCAGATCCTTGCAGCCAAGGTCACTTGTGCAGTGACAGAAGCTATTCATTCTTGTCACTAGCGCCGTTCCGCTGGCAACAGGTGTTAGCCCCCAGTCGGTGAGTGCTACGCATCCCGATCTGCAGAGGGAATGGGGCTGGGCCAGCTCTTAGTTTGCACTGTAGAGACTTGGGCTGTTGGCTGTTAGGTCCCTGGTTCAGTCCCCAGTATTGGCCGAGAGGGCAGCCCCCATACCTAACTGGCCTTGGGGTGTGGCAGGTTTAGTAGACAGGTGACAGCCGGGGCTGCACCCATACCAGCTCTGAGCACAGCATGCAGGTTAGCAGGTGCTGCCTGAGCCGTGCTCGCCACTGGGGCTGACTTGCTGAGTGTACCTGATACGGAAAAGGCCCCTCGGGTGCTGCCCCCAGTACGAGGGGTGTTGATTTGCAGAGCCAATGGAACGGCAGCACTTCAATGGGAAGTGGCCATGTCCCATGGCAGCAAAGGGGTGCCGTCTGCCTTGTTGCTTTAAGGGGTGGCAATTTCAATGAGAACATGACCCTCCAAGGACATCTGGTCTGGTTTGCCCCTTCTTCAGTAGCCCTTCCCTTTGCCACCCCTGTGATGTGAGCCCAGCCTGTTGGGGGGTGGAGAATATCAGCTGTAGCCTGGAGGGAGGAAAGGGGGTGGGGGACTTTAAAACTAAACAAATGAACAGGGCCCCCAGTGGTCTGCCAGGTGCAGGGGGCAGAGCAGGAGCACATAGCCAAGGCAGAGCATGGCACGGGGGTTAGCCACATCACCAGCCAGAAAGGCAGCTTTGGAACACATATCCTGGAACCTCCAGCTCTGACTGGTCAAGGCCTGCTGCCTGGGGACATGATGAGGAGCAGGATGCTGGCGTGGCCAGGTGCCTCTTTGGCATGTGAAATCAGGGCATCTCACATGTGAATTTGGCATGCCAACAGGTACTTCCTATGGGGACTGGGAGCCCTCAACATTCCAGCATCTCAACCACACATCCCAGGTCCTTCTCTAACTATTCTCCAACTGCACAGACATCCCGCGGATCTCTCCTGAGTGCAATTCCAGTGCCTTCCAATAACTGCACCTTCCCCACCCTCCTCCTGTAATACAATGGACGGAAGAGAAATGGACTTTCTGGTTCCCATCTTTTCTTAAAACATGTATTGTTTGCCCTTGAGTGGTTCTTGGTACATCATCACCCAGCCGAACTTCACCAGATATTGTTGTGTTCACATGCTAAGTTCTTAAATATCTTCCTTGAGTCCATTACAGGAGTTGTCACTGGAAAAAAAAATCACCAGCAATGACAATGTGATCCCAATAAATGGAAAGCAGAAAGCAGTGGTTGACAATTTTTAACACAATGGTACCAATCTAGTGGTATTTTCACTGACAGGTCCAGTGGTTCTTGCCAGCATCACAGTGCTTCTGTCACACCTTGGTACAAATTTGTACTACAATGTATTGTCACTGGTGGGTCTTTGGAGCAGGCATTATAGTGATCATGGCTTCCATAAAGCTAACCACAATGATAGCACCTGCCCTTGAAGACATAAACAACCTCTCAACCCCCTAGGAGTGCAAATATAATGTAAGAGGCACTTGCAATGCTGGTGCAAGCAGGTACAATTCCATTGAAGTTAGGGGGAACTCCGGAAGTGTAACTGAGATCAAAATTTGGCTCCTATTCCCATCTCCAAAATGCAGTCACCTCTGAAGTAGATGTCAGCTGCTCCTTAACAACACACAGCAATACCACACACAGTAGCTTCAGGCTTGAGTTTAGGCCTGTCAGTGAGGCACACCACCTTCCAATTGTAACTGTAAGAGGAAATGTAAGGTAGCAGAATCTAATGGCCATGACTGGGAATTTGGAAGGTGCTTAGAGTCAAATTATTAACATTCTATTACTGCTGGCCTCATGTTACAGTTGGCTCGATTGCTGTGAGAATGATGGGGAAATCAGCAATTTTGTGGTAAGGTACCATTTTTGTGGGTGTCATTTCTCACAGAGTTGGCATGTCTTGCATTTCTCAGAGTTTTGGATTCAGAAATCCCAAAGAAAGATAAAGCAAAGCTCATCCAAAATTACCATATTTTGCCTGGTCTCTGCTTGACTCGGAGTCTGGGTGGTGTCCATCAGAAACCAGAAAACAGCCTGCGTTTGGATGTCACTAACAGGAGACTTGCAAATCCCAGTGAGCATGCGCTCAGTTCTTATCCCACCTCCGCGTGTGACTGTGGGAAAGTGATGCCTCTCTGTGCCTCAGTTCCCAATCTGTAGAATGGGGCTAACATGACTGACCTACCTAACAGGAGGGGATAGGGTGACCAGATGTCCCATTTTTAAAGGGACTTTTTCTTATATAGGCACCTATTACCCCCCACTCCCTGTCCTGTTTTTTCACAGTTGCTATCTGATCACCTTAGGAGGGGATGTGAGGCTAAATTCATGCATGGTTGTAAAGTGCTTTGAACTTCCCAGGTTATGTCTGCACTGGATCTGGAGGTGTAATTTTCAGGTTGGATAGCCATATCATGCTGATTCTGATCAAACTGGCATGCAGAAAATAGCATCACAGCCTTGGCAACATAGTGCAATACAATAGCTGCCCCAAGTACAAGCCCATCTGAAATCCTAGGTATGTATACAGGGGGCTTGTTGAAGTCATTGCCCAGGAAGCCATGGCTACACTGCTGTTTTTAGCATGCTATCTGGATCAAACTAGCCTGGTGTGATGAAGTTGGGGATTTTTGTAGTGTTTTACATGAATTGTGTGTGCGTGCCTCAGTTTCCCTGTGTGCTGCAAGCGAGAGACAGGCATGCTGAAGGCTCAGAGAGGTGGAGAAGCCTACGGCTTATCCCCCGAGAGAGAGCAGACCCCCGAGAAGGGCTGTTGCAATGAAGGGGGTTCCTCCCAGGGACCGTATGGAGCCAGGAGAGAGCATAAGTCCTGTGAGTCCCTGACAACTTGGTAGCAGAGGATTGTTGGTGGATGCACCCTGTAGATGGTTGCCTGCCAGTGATAAAACAAGGGAATTGAAGGAACCAGCAAGGAAAGGGCCTAGAACCAGCTCCCTAAAAGCTGGTTTGCATGTCTGTTCAGGGAGCAAGGGCTGAGCATTGGGAGGCTCACCCAGGAGGTGTAGATTGCCTGGCTGGTAGAGAATGACCAGTCTGAGGAGCAAGTTCCAGATCCCAGCAGGGTTCTGGGATGCCCGAAGAGCCTGGGAGTAGCAGGGGGGCAGTTGGGGTAGTGGCAGGGGGTCCACCATACCCCGTTCCCCAACCAGGAGGAGGGCTTCCCAACCACAGTGGATATGAAGAGATGAAATCTGGACCTGCGAGCTAAGGAGCTGGAGCCGGAGGAGCAGAGGCTAAGTGACAGCTTGGAGCAGTGAAAACATGAACTGGAGTTGGAGGAGAGGCAGGCCAAGAGCACCTCCTATGGGGTAAGTGGGGAAAGACCACAAGATGCCAATTTGGCAGGAAGCCTAGATTCCAAAGTGTGCCCCGG